GTAGTACTAGTAGTAGTAGTAGGAGTAGTAGTAGTAGTAGTAGTAGTAGTAGTAGTAGGAGCAGTAGTAGTAGTAGGAGGAGTAGGAGGAGGAGGAGGAGTGTAGGACTGTAGTAGTAGAAGTAGTGGTAGTGGTAATGGTAGTGGTGGTAATGGTACTACGGACCGACACACGCCTTATCTCTATATCAATGAACAACTGTGGCACCCGAAGCTGTGTTGTGGAGAGGCTGGGGACAGGGGTTTCGGATTATGGCTGGGTCCATTCAGCCTGCCACTCGGTGAATCGGGCACGATGCAGCTTCATCTCCACGCTTCTCTCCCAGCTGTGGCTTAGGAAACACTATCTTGACCATGAGATTTCGAAGACGACACGAGCATGAGGACAATGGTAACGATAACATTTGCTGTAATGCAGGCAGCGGTCGTGATGGATATGCGATGGTGGTGATCAGCATTATCGTGGTGAGGATAAATATGGCGCTTACTGATGCCCATTGACATGATGTTGAGGCAATGTTGAGGAGGAGTAGGACGACGACGAGGACTTGATGATGATGATGATGATGATGATGATGACTAGGATGATCTGCCTGAACTCCCCAAAGGCCCAGAGCTTTTTCATAAGATGAATGCTGATGAAGCTGCGGTGTGGTTCTGGTTGAAACGGACTCTCTTCACTACTGTTTTGTGGGGTCCTGCAGACACCTCCTGCAGCTCACAAAGATCAAAGAGAATACTAAGAGACCTAAGGTTAAAGCCTTGAGCTTCTATCAGCTTTCTATTTTGGACACTTGCGGCCTTGAATATGAAGCGAGGCTGGAGTTCATGCTGTGAGCATCTGTGAGCCAAGTAGTTAAGACAAATTGCCATCAGCGAACCATCCATGAGGGCGGAAGGCATGAAAAGACAACTCGACACAGAAACGAACTGTGGATGTGGATATGTCATGCTGGGGGTGCAACAGCTTGAAACATGCTGCCTCACCTCTCGATCTTGGAAGTCTGAGAACGTGTCTGAAGGATCCCACTGTTGAAAACGCCAACAGCTTGCCCGCGGTGTCTCTTGCGGGGCTGCGGAACGGGATGCGCACTTCTCGCACCGATTGTGTGGGTTCAGGGTTCTACTTTCGGGTCTTAAAGCGTAAGGCTGTCGTGGCTTCGGCTCTGCTTTGCCCTCCCTCTGCTGATGCTCGAAGCATTCAAAGCAGCTACAGACTTTAGACCTCAGCCAGGCGAATCTCATTCATCAGGGCTGCCGACTTAGACCATACTCCGTACAGCTTCGTTCGTTACGCACCCGATCCCGAGCTCTTACAGGAATCTTTTCCAGGGGCGTTCGGGGCCTTCTCGGCGCCTTCCGTCCCGCTTTCAGACAGGTCCCCGGTCCCCGACACGCGGGATGGCGCCGGGGGGCGGGGGTGGCCCACGTGAAGATGGGATACCTGGGCTCTTCTATCTTGGGTCCCATCCAAGACAAGGGATGTACCGCTAACTAAAATCCGTACTTTAGCATAAGCCGTGTCATGAGGCCGAGGCCTCTGGAGCTTTGATTCTATTCGTGCGTTCTCTCGGGTGTTGTTTCCGAAGTTGATTTGTGACTTCGACGGGATGTCTGCAACCCATTCAGTTGTGATTCGAAAATGCTCGGGTGCAGTCCCTGGTAGAGGCCACGTTTCACAAAATGAGGCTCGAATACTGACACAGTGTCCAGAGAAGCTTCGACTCTAGATTACCTAGGCATTGAAACTATATACTGGGCAAACAGCACTGCCATCGAATATGCACACAGACACCATAGAATAGAATCCCACCTTAAACTTCGCACGCAAATCCCTAAACCCTAGCAGCCGCTCCGATTCGCACAGCAACGTGAAGCCGGCGATCAGCTGCGAACCCGGCCTCTGGAGGATGGCGCCGGCGACGCGCCACTCACGGAGGGGGCCTCAGTCTGAGCCAGCATCCGCCACGGAAACCTCCTTTAAGGAGAAAACTTTTGAGCACTTGTTTCTCTCGCAATCTTTAGAGCACTGCGAAAAAAAACTGGGTGTCGACTGGCCTTTCGGAGATGCGGATGCGGCAGCGGAACTTTCGGCAACCTCTCAGGCGATCGCCACAGAGGGCCCCTTGGACATGACGCCCGGCGGCAGCGGCGGTGGCGGGGGCGGCCCGCCGAGCGGCAAGGCTTTGCCCCCGACCTGGGCCGACAGTGGTGTGACGCCTTCGGCTTCTACTGCAGGTGCCGGCAATTACCGCAGTCAACGTCACGAACTGGAACCTACACGAAGCAGAGGCCGAACCAGCAAGCCTAGTCTTCCGAACTGCACGGGCTGAGTCCCGCCACCGTTCTGAAAGTTGGGATGCCGGAAGCTCCTGCAGACCAACTCAGTGCAGTGACTAATCCTCCTCTTCCGTTCCACTGCTGCTCTCAGAGTGGCTCACGAAATTCCAAGCGTCTCCAACCAGGGCGGCGATAAAAAAAAAAAAGCCACGGAAAGCCCTACAGCCATACCTCATCCATCCTCATCCCAACACCTTCAGCTTCGACCCCCAAAAGGGGCCCTAAAGCCACGGCCTGGCCTTTGGCTCCGGCCGACCCCGGTGGCGATTCCTTCGGAAGGAACCTTTGGAGGCTTTGGGGACTCGCTGAGCTGTCGCATGGCCTCTGTACCCGTCGCACCGGCAGAGTCTTCGCGAGCACGGATTCTCAGGAAGGATTCTCAGCAGATTGCTCCAGTGCAACGGCGAAGTTCTGCAGGACATGAATCACGTGGGTGGAACCAGACACGCTTGTCCTTTAAGCTTGACTTAACGCTGAGCGGGGAACGCCGGTCGTGCCACAGGAGGCTTTGCCGACCTTGGCTGGCAACTGTTTGCTTTTAAGGTGGGAGTTCATCGTGTGGGAGCGTTTGCATGAACTTTGGGGCCAAGGCTTCCGAAGTACATAAGAGTGCTCCATAGCTAGCAAGCCAAGGACTGGGGATGCAAGGAAGGCTTCTGTTATGCTTTAGCCTTAGTGGCTGGAGGATTGACGGTGTGGGCCACAGGCGTCTGCTTCTCCAGTACGAAGACACGCACGAAAGACAGCTTTGATGCAGAGCCTCATGCTTCAACGGCCGCTTCAGAAGGACAAACCCCGCATGACCAAAGCTCCTCCGTGCCCCAAGCGGTGGCGGCGGCGGAGCGTTCTTTGGTGGGTTCCTCAGAGACCCGAAGGGTGGAACCGTCAGACGTCTCAGTCCGATGTCCGGCACTAGACACCGGCGCTACAGCAAGGGGCCGGGCTTGAGATGGATGACTCAAGAAGAGAGCATGAACGCGAGAGATCTTCGTAAAAGCGCGCGGAAGCCTTCAGGAGCCTTTTTGGAGCCCTTTTGCAAAATACCAAACCGCTTATAATCGGAGACACCTGGCCTGGGCGGCGCCAGAGGAAGCGCCGGCTTCTTCGCCGGGGCTTTCCGCATCTTCAGGCCCACGTCGTTCTGTGGCGGACGGAAGTTTGATGCCAAAATGATGTCGATCCCCCAGGTGTCGTCTGGAGAGGGGACGTCTGTGTGACTGGCAGGACCTCTGTTTTCGCTTGGTTTATGCATCATGACTTCCAAACTGGGTTTTTGGGTTCACCTCGAAAGTGGCCTTCCGAATGCGGCTCTGGAGGAAATCGCCGCCCACCAGCCGCCGGCGAATCTCGAACCTTTGCTGACAATGCAAGGAATACAGCAACAGTAGTAACGTAAGACTAGACCAAATCCTATCCAAACGTTTCTGGTAGTCTTGCAATCACAGCTCTTGGAAAACCCTGCATGTTCGCTCCAGCTTCAGCTGCGAGGTGCAACGTAACGCAACAGCCGACACCAACAACCCAATTGGGGTTTCGTGCCCACGAACAAAAAGCACGCAGTGTCCTCTAGGTCCTGGCATTTTTTTCGCAAAACAGGCCCTCGAGTGCAAAGACCGCGCGTCTTGAACTGGATTGATGTCCACGCCAGAAGCCCTGACAACAGGGCCCGGACTTGCGCAGCTCGACCACCGTCGTCACAGCGCCTCGGATAACCTGCCCGGGCTAGTGATTGGCTTGTGCGGCTTTGGGGAAGTCACATGAGCTCGGTGTGGACTCCGTGGCCCCGGATACATCCCTGCCCAACACAACCTTCCAAACTTGAACAACAAAGCGGACCCCGAATACCAGTAGAAACCTGCAACTGTAGGAGGAGGCCGTCAGCCTCCAAGACGAACAAGGCGAGGCACACGCCGATGATGCAGGCATAGGCCCAATGCTGCTCCTCGTGCCCAGGGCGCGCAACCCGATGTGCGACAAGAGGATCTGGAGGCTCTGATCATACCAAGGGCCTTGCGGGCCACGCAAACTTGGGGTTCGTGGGTTCGGGCCTCAACTCGCTGAAACTTGGTGCTGCAGGTCAGATTGAGGACCACCTGTGCGAAGGCACACGGACCGCTGAGCTCAGTTGCACCTGCTGGGATGGCTTCCTTGCGCTGTTTGCTGGTGATCTCGTGACACGAACAAACTCCATGGCAAAGCATAACTGCGACAAGCAGCTGAACTCGAGGATTCGCACATCGCATGTTGGATCGGGTGGATGATTGAGGGGCCGGTCTGCTTTCTCAAATCAGCTGTGGGCAGCCTGACACGCGATCGATGTTGCTGAGGCCTCAGTGGTGACCGAAACAGACTACGAGCGTGGGTAGGCATAAATACTGGTGTTCGCGTGGCAGTATTCCAGCTTTGGGAATGAACAAGAAGCTACTGACAGCTGCAACGATGCAATCAGCGAGAATGCAAGAATGACAGCAGTGACGTATGTGACCTTCAAACCCGGGCACTTTAGATTCCTGTTCCCCACATCAAGGCAAGGCGGGGCCCCGACAATGTAAGGTGACATCAGCGTCACCTGGTAGACCCACTCCGGCGCCACCCAGCCAACGTCCTTCTGCAGCAGATGCTGGGTGACACTTGGGGGGAGCAGTGCGGCAAGCCAAACACGCAAAGTCTCACTCACATATCAAGGTTGTGGCGAAAAACCTAAGTAGCATCGGCGAAGCCTTTCCCAGGGCTTCATCTTCCATGAAATCACTAATTTTAAGACCACCCCACATGCCAAACCCCAACATCGAAAGCCGCGGGGAAGATGTTCAATCTCGAACATCTGAGTCTCTGAACTTTAAACTTAAAACCCAAACCCTGTTCAGGCCCCAAGCCGTGTCCGCTCCTGTGCCTCATCCTGGAGCTGCTGCCTTGGCCAGGCACATCCAACATAGTAACATAACACAACATCACATATGACAGCGGTGTGGGATCACGTCGTATTACGGCACATGCAGTATGATACGATGCAGTACGATATGACCGAATGCCATATGCCGACTCCTCGTTGCATCGGTTGGGCGGAGCTGAGCCACCAGCTCCGGAGCCGGAAAATGAACGTATGTATTTATGTACGTATGTATGTATATGTATCTATGCATGTACGTATGTATGTGTATGTATGTGTACGTGTGCATGCATGCATGTATATGTATGTGTATACGTATGTGTATGTGTATGTGTATGTGTATACGTATACGTACACGTATACGTATACGCATACGCATATGCATATGTATGTGTATGTACGTGTGTGTGTACGTATGTATGTATGTATGTATGTATGTATGTTTGTTTGTTTGCGTGTTTGTTTGTTTGTTTGCTTGTTTGTTGGTGTTCGCTTGTTTTGGAGGAGCGGTGCACTTGGGTGAATTCGACACATAGGTTTGCTGAGTCCATCGGCTGAGGATTTGGAGTTCCCTTCTCGGGGTCTGCGAGGAGAGGCTTCTTGTTTTAGGGCTTGGGGCTTGAAGCTCAGGCTCGGTATCATGGCGGTTGCGACTTTCACGGGGGTCTTGGATGCGAGGCTTCTTCCAGCACCTCGCCTCACAAATGTGTTGGTGCCGAAGGGGTTGTGGCCCCGGGCGCAACTCACCTCCCCGAAAATCCCACGCGACTTAGTCACTAGGCACCCAGCGCATGGGACTTCGCTGCCCGGTCGATGTACGCCAGGCGCACACGCCGGACCTAGGTCTCAGAGCCCACCAAACGCCATGCATGTCTCCAGAGCTGTTGCATCCCGGACGCAAGATCCGCGACATGACATTTGCATCGTTTCCGGTCTGAGGGCATGAGACCTAGAATGGGGCACATGCTGCGAATGCAGGGCGCCAGGCTGGGTCCCGAAACATGCTAGAGTCTGCTAGACGCGAAGATAGACGAACAGCTATAGATGCACAATCAGACACCGCCACAAGAGAGAGAGAGAGAGAGAGAGAGAGAGAGAGCTGAGAGAGCGCGACTCGGCAGGCTGAGACGCAAGAACTCAGGCCCAGGCGAAGGTTGGGTCGTCTTCCCGGGGCGGAGGCGGCGGGGGTGGCGGAGGCGGTGGGACCTGGGAGGCGAATCGACAGGTTGGTGCTGTGATGAAGGGCCCTGGAGGCTTTTAATGTGGGAAGCCTAAGCGCGTGTACGATCCCGGCCACTATCACGACGACTCTAAAAAGTAGAAGCAACAGTAACTTTGAGGGAACTTGTGGTTTCAGCTTCAATCACTTCAGTCTTGGACGACGCGATGCAGGGGCTTGTCTTGCATCCAGGTGGTTGGGCTCCGCGAGGATCGCCTAGGATTTCCAGTGCCTGGCTCATACAAGACTAACTACATTGCAAAGCATGCTTAGAGTTA